GAGAGAGAGAGAGAGAGAGAGCCATTTACAAGAATTTTTAATTTGAAAATGATGAGTTAAAGGAAGAAAATGAGTAAAATTCTTACTTAATAATTTTCTCTAAAGTAGTCTCCTTTAAGGTAATATTCTAAAAACACAATTTGAAACTTTCATCATCTTCCTCATATCATTTTCGTAATCGGCTCATCTTCTTATTCACCGATGACCGAGTGGCACTCTCTAGTCTCTAATATTGCGTCCCAACTCCATTCACCATTCCCCATTGTGTGACCGCTCCCCTTCCCTAGGGATGAACATATTACAGGACCACTCGACTTGACTCAACTTGACTTGGGTTGATTTCGAGGGGAGTAGGTTGGTTTTCGGGTTGAGATTTCACCCAACTCAAAAAGTTGGTTCAGTGATTGGGTTGGCCCCAAACTCGACTTCACCCATGCCCACTCCTTCCCCTCTACTGTCTCGTAGCTCACGTCCGCCCACCTCTTTGTGTGTGTTCACATGCAGAGAGATACAAAATGCGACAATATACCTTTATTAAACCACTCCAATAGAGTGAGGAGTACAATCATAATATGTCCATTGTCAAACAATAATCTATCTTAATATGAGAATATTTTTACTCGAAACAACTCCATGCATTGCTCGTAATCCTTAACAATTTAAATTGCACAAATTAAGATAATTGGTAATAAGAACATATCATGTTTGTCATGTAAAATATTGCATTGTTTACGTACAATTAAACTATGAAAAACTTGCACTTGTAATTTCTAATATATAATCCCCGTAAAATGTTGCTATTAACGTACTCAGTCTCGAAATTCATAATATTCTCGATTAAAAAAAATATCTTGAGTGGATCCAAACTTTAATTTTTATGCCTGTGAAAAAGTTGAGTCTATGCATGTATTCGTATTGACTAACCTTAAAATAAAAGATTAATTGGTAAATAAAATCTAGTTATATGCCTAGAAAACCTAAATGCATGTTAGGCTGAAAATGGATGGATTGAATGGGACCCAAAATTTAAGGGCCATGTCATGTGCTAAGATTCATTTGTGGGACCCTATAATATAAGTGGGCTGTCGGAGGGATGTCAAAAATCTATTATTCCATGTGCGCCGCTGCTGCATTTACCACTCTCTTTGTTGCCTGCACTTGCATGCATGCCATAGGTATCTATCAAATATTGAATTTGTTATGAATTGAAGTTTCATTCGAAAGGTAAAATAAGTCATTATTTATCGAGCATTGTCATGTACTAGTTTAAACGTTAGGAATTTCGTTGTTTCATTATTCAACGAAGCTAAGATACAGTATGATTTGCTTTTATATAAACTAATACTATCTAAAATTATTCTTATTTGTCCTGAAAACCATTGATGTAGAATTTTCTTGGCATTTTTCTAACAATTTCTCCGTCAAAAGAAGTTCCACGTCATCTAGACTCTCCTTAGGTGATAATCTATCCAACCCTTTTCTAAAACCAGGAAACATGCTCCATCAATGCTCAACTCTTGCACCGTCTAAGGAGCCATTGATATTCACGAGTACAGTTACCTTTGGGTGTTTGACTGCCAACTGTGGATTTTTCCAATCATTGTTACGGCTCATTTGACATGATTTTGAGAAGCCAAATGAATTTTTGAAACACTAAAGTTATTTTTGGACCCATTTGATTTATTTTACAAAATATTTCTTTAATTAGCCAATATGCCTGCATCTAAAAACTCCTCAAAAAAAAAAAAAATAATAATAAAAAAAAAACATTTTGAAAATTAGTTTTTAAGCATTAATTAAGTTAATTTTCTCATGAAATTCTTCTACAAGAAGTAAAAGCAAAAGATGTCTAATAAATAAAATATAAAAACTGATTAATTGAAGTGTTATTATACTCATTAAATGATCTTTTAATATAAATCAATTATTCAGATAAATAAGTGGTCAGGCATTATGATTGGTCAATGATCATCGATCAGAATAATTAATTATTATTATGTATTTCTTGGACGGTTGTTTAGAAAAATAATTGTTTTAGAGGGAATTTGGCAGAAGACAAATAATTAAAGAAATTAAGCAAATTAATATATTAACGTATTATTAGAATGCTATTATAATTAATTTTCAAAATTATGCACGAAAATTAATTATAAGAAGAAGAAGTTAAATTTTTGTTTTTGAATATATAAATTTTGCTCAAACATATTTTTAATTTATATCCATGTTTAGTTATAATTCAAATGTTGAACCAAGTACCCGAAGGTCGAATAGGTGACCTCATGATCTAGTACTTTATTAATGACAAGAAGTCAAAGGTTTGAGAATATTAAAAAAAAAAAAAATTAATTAATTAATATAGTTATTGTGACCTTAATTTCAAAGTAATTGCTAAACATAAAACATTTGCATGCTTCATGTCTATTTTAAACATTGCTTTTTTTTTTTTCATTTTTCAAGTCGAAACAAACAAATTTTGGGTTTATAATGTCAAAGTCATAGATGTCCTTACATTTTAATCTTTTTATCGTTGTAGTTCAACTCCAAGAGTGATAAAGTTTCCTCTCAAATAGGTATAGTCAAAGTTTGTCGAATGGGTTGATTGTTCCTTTGAAAGAAATCGTTATGTCATTATTGATAAAATTTATAGAACTTACATTATTATGTGTTCATCGATAAGGACTGCTTTGGCATACTACTACTTCGTTAAATCGTGGTTTTAATTTGAACAAAATCGAAAAAAATAATTTGGATTAGCTTGGTTTAGAAATTGAAGCGATTTTACTTGGTTTGAAAATTCTTAAATCGTTTTAAGTGGTTTAATTTGAAAATTTATCACAAACTGTCTATATCAAACCGTATTCACCCTACCCTTTAGCATTGGATACCAAAACCTATGTCCCACCTCTCTATTAGCGACTAGGAGTCAATGCCTAAAATAGGCTACAAGGGAAGGGCCCATCTTCCTCATGCTGGCCCAATTAATTAAACTATTGGTTCATATAAGACAAATACAAAGTATTATTGATTTACCAAACCCCACTTTGATACCCTACCCTGGTTGGAAGGAACAATATTGTATAAAGATTAAAACAGGGGGAAAAAATCATTTTATTTAACATTATCATTTTTGAAATGAGAACCCTTCGACTGAGTCTTGAATATGAACTAAATCAGCTAAAGACAAACTTGTTCTCGATCAAACATCAGGACCCTTGATGCTCATACCAAGAGTTCTCTAACTACCAATTAATAGATATCATCTGGCTGGGTCTTGCTGAAATGTGTCCAAATAGATCGTGGTGGAAAGAGGTTATGTTGAGTGCCCGAATGTTTAGTGTACAATTATATTGTTCACTACAATTTAAATATACTTTATTAAAGATAATTAAAGTTACAAATTTTTGGAATGAGGGGTCAGATCCAAACTAAGATGTGGACAAGGGAACAAGAGGAAACTTGGTAGGGTTCCATCTTAAGTAATGGACCATGATTGGACTCCAAAAGTCCAAGTCCAAACCCAATCCCACGAGTAATAATAGGCCCACATTCAACAATCAACATTTAAGTCCTCACACGTGATTGTTTGTCACTTGTGTGAGCATCCCTAGCATGGAATTAGCCCCTTTTTTGGGGGTCCGATTTATCCTACTACTCTTCAATATTCTTCATATAAATTATGTATGGTGCACCCGACACATTATTTAAAGCTATATTAAGGCTTTGTTTGAGTTTTTGTTTTGTGAAAATAGATTTTTTTGAGAATGTATGATTAAAAGTAAAGAAAAATTTTAAGTTTATATGCAAATTATATTAATTGTGAGAATGCATGATTAAAAATTATAATATT